CTCCTCGTCCTCCTGTTGGTCTGTTCAGCCGACGCCACCAGCTCCCCGTCCTGTCGGCGTAACCGCCGACTCCAGCGACCTCGTTGCCTTCTGACTGTTGGCTCTCCAGCCGACTCCAGCCCCTCGTGTTCAGTTGGCGAACCAACCGTCTAAGTCTTCTTCTCAAGTACCTCCTCTCGAGGTCACCGTCATCGAGTCCCCATTCAAGACACTTCTCAAAGTCATCCTCTCGAGTTCTCCTCTCAGTCACCTCCAAGTCAACTCTCAAGTCACTCTCAAGTTCCCTCGAGTTCCCTCTCAAGTCCACGCTCTCGAGTTCCCTCTCAAATCTCTTCTCAAGTCCCCTCTCGAGTCACCTCTCGAGTCCCATTCTAACGACATTTCAAGTCACCTCTCAATCACTTCTCGAGTCCCCCTCAAGTCCCCCTCTCGAGTCACATCTCGAGTCTTCCTCTCGAGTTCCCTATCGAGTTTCCTCTCAAGTCTCCGTTCAAGTTCCCCCTCAGACCTCTCAGTCATCTCTCCAAGCAACTCTCAAGTTTCCTCCGAGTGTCCACTCAGAGTCCCTATCTGTGCCGTGGAGGTTTCCGCTGGGTCCTGCCAACTCTATGTCCTGTGCCGTTGGAGCCCCGGCCGGACTACTCTTCTGCGGCCTGCCAGCACCTATTCCTGTGCCGTTTGGGGGAACTCCCGCCGACTGCTCTTCTGCCGGTTGGGGCGGTCCTGCAGCCCTACGTCCTGTACGCCACTGGAGGCGGCCCGCCGACTACGTCTTCTGCCGGGCCCTGCCGCCCTGTGTCTTCCCGTTGGAGTCCCGCCGACTACGTCTCACCGGGGCCCTGCCAATCCCATATCCTGTTTCGTTGGAGCCCGGACATCACCTGTATCGCCGCGGGCCTGCAACTCCTCTGTCCTCTTTCCGTTGGAGGAATATTCCAAACCCGTTCCACCGCTCCGGTTCTTGTCCGGTCAACACCGGCTTCCTGCCCGGACCCCTGAGAGCTGTGTCTTCGCCCCTCCCTCGAACTCTGCCTTGCCCCCGGCGTCCGCCGAGACCCCCCTTTGAACTCTGCTATAGCCCCCGGCCGTTCCCCCGAGGAACCCATCCATTGTCCTCTGCCTTGCCCTGGCGTCCGCCGAGACCCGCTCGGACACCCCCTCCACCCACCCTGCTGACTTTGTTTTTTGGACGTACTGGCGACCGTCCACCTTGAGAGGGCGTTCTGTCACACCCCCAGGTTTATGTCACGGGTTTTAGTGTGTCTGTCTATTTGGGTGTTTGCTGTCATGTTTTTCATCCTGGGTTATTTGTCTGGTCCTTTTCCCTGTGTTTTTCATGTCTGTCGTTAGTTCCCTGGTGTGTCTAATTCCCTGATTGTTTTCACCTGTCACTCCTCGTGTGTCTCCTGTGCCCATCAGTGTCAGCCCCGCCCCTGATTGTTCCCACCTGTGCCTTGTTACCCTGTGTTTAAATTCCCCTGTCTCCCAGTGTCAGTTTGTCTTGTCTATTGTCATGTCAGGTCTATGCTTTTGGAACTCTTTGGTTTTTGATTCCTCACTGCGTGAGCGCCTTCATTTTTTGTCCTCTGTTTTTTTTGTCATCTCGACTGGAGTTTTGGTGATTACCTTTTTGTTCATTTTTGCTAAATCATGGAAAAATAAAGTATTTCACAATACTTTACCTCTGCATCCCTGTCTGCATTTGGGTCCTACATACTAAGTGCCTGGATTCGTAACACTATACAAGGTTTCGGTGAGTAACACGAGTGTAATGTGTAACGGTAATGTCCGTTGGGATTCTGGGATTTGTAGTCTTTCTAGTTGCGTATTTTTAATAGTCTTATATTTCAACAGTTTTAAGACAAACTGACTTTTTTGACATGGAAATTATTTTTTAAGATTGACAAACATCATGTGTGATTCATGGCGCAATTCAAACGGGATCGAAAGATACGTTTTCTCTCTCCATTGACTTCAATACATAATTTTTCAGAAATAAGGTCCCATGGGGCGGAAGTAGAAGGGCGTGACTTCGCCACTCTGAAAGAACAGGAAGAATAGCTAGCACACAAAAAGAGGACACAACTGTGAATAGAGGTGAGATGTGTAAAGATAGAGAGAAAACAGGTGTAGAGATCGACATATTATAAAGAAATGAGACGGGTAAATAGGTTAATGAAGGAGCTGGAATAGCGAAAGAAGGCACGGTCTGATTTTCATCCCCTCCTGTGGTCCCATACTTTCCGCTCCATGCTAATCTGTCTGGAGCAGGCTCACTAGCTCGAAGCACTGTAATAGCATTTCACACTCAACATGGAATCACATTTCTTCTCTTGAAAATGATTGTTGAAAATTATGTTCTCCACACAAAAAATGAGAGTAAGAATTCCCCAAAATGCATGTCTGTGACTGAATTTCTTTATAATCTCCAAAAGCATTTTTATTTTGTGTCTGTCTCATGAATAGAAGTGCAACACTAAATCACTGCAGTACCCCTTTGAGGTTTACTGTTGTGACTTCTTAGGTTTGGTGCTTGTTGTCTGTTGAAGTAGCCTCAGGCTCTGAAGAGCACATGAAAACATTTTATACATATATTTTATCAGATCACTTCTGAGAATGCTGTCCATGGGGTATTTCTCGCTGGCTTCTCTATCACTAGACTCCATGAATGGAAACATGTTTTTATGAGTTTGATGTTCTTCACAGAGTTGTTCAGCAGACATTTTCTGAAAGAAGCAGAAAATCTGAGTCTTATTTTCATTTTATTTCCTTACTTCATTTTGGACGTGACTGCAAAAGTTTCTTAGAGTTTTTTCATATGAAATAGTGAGAGTCGAAGAGTAAACTCATACTGCACTCAGTACATTTAGATTGTTTTCAATCTTTACTCTGAATAGCAACCGTCCTATTTGCCTTTAGTGGGATGCATTTTTGCTGAAGAACTTTTGGCCCCCTGTTGTAACTCTAAGAAACTTTTGCAGCCACCTTTCAACTCAACAGGGGCTTAGTGTTTGAAACTAAAAACATAGATGCTTGTATAACAATCCTTTGAAACATACAGCAAAGTTTTAGGTCCTGCTTGAACAACAAAACTTACTCAAAGTAAAGTTGAATAAATAATGCTTGATGATATTCAAATCAGATCAAATCAAAGTTTTTTGCAAGTGTAAATATGATATAGTGTACAGTGCATTGTTACACAGTATATTCTGTATTTCCTCTTCTCCTCAACCGGTTTATGGTTGTGAAAGCAGATATAGTGCATGTACAGTATCTTGTATTATTTCTTCACCTACAGTATGTCATGTATTTTCAGCAGGCTAAGCAGTGTTTATCAGTTATTCAGTGAGATGTAAGGATGATGTCTTCCACGCCCCGGAGCCATAGCTCTCTTGAGGCAGTGTGAACCATGCATGGGTTGTTGTAACATCTGGAAAGCTTTGGGAGGGAGGATTCAGGTCCGAACCCGGGGGGACCTGCCCTTCTTCTTCTGCTAAGCCTCTGGTTGTTGGTTTATCTTTACAATAAACTGTCAGTCCCTTCTTCCTTCTCAACAAATCCAATTTTCATCAGTCATTCTATCCCTTTGTTTGTAGCCATATGCCATGTTTCAGGCTCTACCTACCCTAAATCAAAGATATCTTGACGGCAGCACCTTGGTTGCTGGGGGAGATTTGTCTTGGTAACCTTGTTGCTCCTGTGATGTTACCCATCGCTGCAGAGGTTTACTCATGTGGCGCCTGCCAGCTGAACTGCAGCTCTGAATTAAATATGAATAAAACTCTGAGCTTGACAGACAGAAAAAAAGAAGGAACATGACATTTCTCTTCAGCTCAAATGCTGCCTGGGTGCTGCTTTCCTATCCACTCCACCTCTGGTGCACCTAGGCTGTGATGACTCCATCGGGAGCTCATTTAAAAGGTTTTCCATCAGAGAAGTTGTTTTCGCTGTGTCTGTACAAGTCTCTAGTCATATTAGTGACTCTCCGTCGTTTCCTGGTTCAGGTTCACTCCGGTGCCGCGTTACATCTCTCAGTGTCTAGAGACAGGTGGCGCGTCTTCCTGGGCTTTCAGGAGAGGGGGGCTTAGAGCTGAAATGCCAACATGTCTGGGAGAGGAAAGTCTGCTTCCCGCCGATTCCTAGTGTCATCTCAGGATGGAACAAACTGGCTCGTTGTCAGGGAAACATCCTGGTTACATCGCTTGTTTCCATATCAGACAGGAGATAATGACATTCAGGAAGAAAGGACTTTTATTACATGCTGATTAGCTTAATGTCATCATTTCCGTCCTTTTGTACACACAGAGCGCTACAAGAATGATGTATTAGAAGCATATACTGTCCGATGTATAGATATAGGGAATCTAGCAATACCCCTGTGCTTAAACATTACACTTTTTAAAGAAAAGCTCTGTTATGTGATTACTAAACATCTTTATATTAATGACAGTTTAGGCTTTTCCTTTAACAGTCTTTTATGTCATTATTTTGTTGTCACTCTGCCAACATTAGCGACAGGCGCAATCTTCACGCACAACATTACTCTCCTACTTCAGTCAGCTATTTCTCATGCTAAATGATTGTTTTTTTCTATTAGAAAGGGAGTTGCTCTGTGATTGAGTGCAGAGTGTTACGGCCCCTACGCACGCCGCCGTGTGTAGGGGCCGTTAAAGGAAGAGAGGACAGCCACACTGGTTACTTGTTTGATGGCTAACAGAGTCTGGGGGAGTAAGGTGTCACACACAGATTCAGGGAGGATATGAAGCCCAAACTCTCTCTCAGATGTGCTTTGAAGGCAGGATGTGTTTCAACAATTTCATGGTGCATTAACAGAGACAGGCCAATGCATTTTGACCATGCAATGAGGCTACAATAGGGCATGAAAAGAGCACACTATTTCTGCACTTTCACCTCAGTTTTTTCCATCTTTGTGAATCCTAATAATGTACCCCCTCTTTTCTCTCTCATCTCACTGCAGCCTCCTTTGGAAACTTCTCTTAGCTCATCCATTTGGCAGCCCTTTCCTTCATCCCCTGTCACAATACATCTCCAGGAGCCGTGGAAGAGCTGCTGTCTTCAGATATGTGAGCGGAGAATCGCAGAGTGAAAGGGGAAAGGATGAGCCTATAGACCAGATGCCAACCAGTCTGGAGGATTCTCATTCAAGGCGGCCAATTTAGTTTACAGACACTGAGACAGAGACAAAGCCCTTCTCAAGGCAGGGGTACCCACTGTATCATTGTGATAAGATGCAAGATTCACAACCCTAGTGATGATGTAGGCCTGTCACTGGTATATGCTTGATCGCAGCAAATCTCCTCTTGGTTTCATGTCACATTTGGATCGGACATTTTTTAGAAGAACACTTGGATTTATTTTATTATAAGCTGTTACATGTCATATGCACAACCAGGATTCATGTTGTTTCCTCTCCCTTGTAACCCTTAAGCTAAGTGGTCATGAAAACATGAGGATGATGACTTATACTACACGCAATGCCAGCATGTGGCCATTTGACCTTCAGTTTAACTCCTTTTGAAACTGTATCACCAAAACCTGTTCACTAAGAATTACAGCTGATCTGGATTAAGCCAATGTAATCTAAATAAACTCTTCATCCACAGGACACACTCACATTTCCCTAGGGACTTAACTTTTTGAAATGTAGGTGTTCAGCATCAACAATAACACTTTAAGCTGAATGTCATTCCAACAATCCGTTTTTTTGTATTGCAATTAATCTGCAGTAAGAAATTAGAAATTTATATAGAGTATGTTGTAGACATATTAATCTACGTACACAGTACCAGTACCTTAGTCTTTATTAATGGAATGGATCCAGAGGACACAGAATATGATAATCACCGACTGTCGATGCTTTATTAAGCAATAACTTAAATGATAAAAGGTGGAGATGAGCAGCACTGTGTGGGATAGAAAAATTGAGATTGGTGTCTGCTGAGAGAAATATAAATTGTATCTGTTACTGTGCAGCATTTGCCAGCCTCATGGCTTCTGCCCTTTGTGTGTGCTACTGTATACTGTATATCATCTCTCGCACACAAATACTAAGTATAAAGGACAAGGCTTTGTTTTGTTCAACCCACTGTCTGTCCCTGGTGTGACACTTTGATTTCAAATGCTCAGAAATTAGAATACTATGACAGCTACCCAGATGTAAGATTCCCAGAGCAACTCGAGCAAGCACCTTTGAAGTCACAGCAGAAGACAGCTATGTAGGATGAAGACGTTTCTGTCTCTTAAATAGATAAACTCAATAGATAAAAAACCTTTCAACAAACATAACCTAACCTTCTAACATACCTTCATTCGTCCTTTGACAAGGAGTCTTTGAGTAACGTCAGTATTTGACTGTTAAAGGGAATGGAATGTATTCTTTTTGAATAATGTGATGTAATGTAAATATGAACATTTTTGAGTTACTTTGCCAGATGATTGATGAGCTGTTTTAAATGCAAAAAAGGGAAAATGAAACATATTTATCTGCTTTTAAGATATGTGGAAACATATGATGTGGAATATGATGAAAGCTGTCTTTTTAGAATAAATTAATTGAGATTCAGTGTTGGTCCTGTTTTATCATAGTTTTAACATGATGTCTACTTGATGTCATTTTTTATTCATTTTTTTTCACGAGAGGTTAATATGTACTTCAGCTTCAAGAGGTAGAACATATGTCTGATACATTTCAAGTTTTTCCAAATGTTTGGAAATCAGTTATTCTAATCATCTCTTGAAACAATATGGCATATTGTATTCCAGTCTTTGAGAACGTGTTGTTTTGATGGCAGTGATCCCATCATCAATGCGGATTGTATGAGAGAGTGAAAGAGTGTCCTCTGAGAATGGAAAAATAGCCAAGTCTCTGTGGGGAAGGATCTTTTGTTTATTTGAAAACTCAAAATAAATCATTAGAGGTTTCTTCTTCTTGGCATTGAAGCACTGAGGGATGACATTTAAAACACATTTTTTGAGTAAAAGCCACCTATATTCAACTTCCTTACCATCTTAAGCACAATATCCTTATTTTATTTTCTCAAACAGTACTTGTGGCACACAATTAAGTAGAATGTCCTCTTTTCAAATCCCAAGAGATCTAGATATCCAATCCATATGCAAGAAATGCTGCACTTGTTTCTCTTTCTCAGTCTGAATTGTGTGACTTAATTGTATTTGTTACAGAGGAAGGGTCTCAAACTTGCACCAGTGCTCTGACCTGTCATTCAGGGTGCTCGAGTCACGACTCAGTAAATTCAAAGTGGAGCTGCTTGCCTGAAGAGACACACTTACCTAGTCTCTGTCTTCTTACTCACGCACACGCACGCACGCACACACACACACACACACACACACACACACACACACACACACACACACACACACACACACACACACACACACACACACACAGGGATCCAATTACTGAGAGACATGAAGCATCTCACAAGTTGATAACAAGGCACATGTATGATAAACAGATTCAGTGAACAGTGGCCTTTTTAACCCTGGCAGAGAATAAATCTACTGAGCAGATGGTTGGATGATGCAGTTAATTGGTTACTGTTTACTGTTAAGTGTCTTTTCTTTTTGAAAATCTGTCTTTCGCTATCATTCTCTAAAATGCAGAGGCTGTCCATCTAGCTTGTTTACTGTTAACTGCTAGCGGCTTTGATCAGCTGGATCTCAGTCCTCTGACAGCTCTGAAATAAACTGAGAAACACTCTGTCCTCTCTCATAAACTACTGTTGAGCAGCCCTTAAGCAGCTGCTCCAGTGGAGTTGCTCAGTGGCGCAAACAGCTGAAGACTGTTATTTCATGGCCAGCGCCCAAGTGTTAAAATTCAGGATACCATAAAGTAAGTCAGAATAGAAAAAAGTGCATGTGTGCTCACTCAACTTTCACTAGAAAGGTCAAATGATAAATAACACAATCAACTGCTGGATGGACTCTTTAAGAGCCTTTTAGGGCGCAAGACCACTCCACCTGGCCAGTTTTAAAAACTATTAAGTAGCCTTTTGTTCACTCAGCAGAGGAGGAGAGGGAACATAAATCACTGCCATGGTGAAAGGATTAATTGCAGTGAACTATTCATCAGCGACCATTTAAGGGAGCAAGAAGAAGCTTTAACTTTATCAGTTGGGCGGAGAGTGCAGAAAAATGGCAGTTATCACTCAGCTGAGTGAAAAAACCTCCGACTCAGTTTCGTGAACCAGCTGATCAACCCTTCAAGTCTTAGGAGATGAGAGCTACACACGTGACATTGCCATTAAAATCAACTACACATTTAAGGTGCAAAACATGCTACGGGGCCCTTGTTACCATTATGCTGCCTGAAACAAATCACAGGACAACACTGCCCCCTTGTGGAAGCTTAATGCAAACAAATATTGACAAGACAGCCAGTAAAAACAACCATGTGTTTTGAAATATTGTATCATTTTCAACTATACAATAACTTTTTATCCTATTGAAAATTGTGAAATTCTTATCAAATAAAAATCAGTGGCATGATTAAACATTTGGAGACAGTATACTAAAAGACATAGCAAAGCAGTCTGCAAAAATAGGACTTTAAGGAAATTAATTTAAGAGGTTGATACCTTTAAATACTTTAGTACAACGAAATATAAATTGAATGTACTTAAATACACGTTAAACTTGGGTGTATACATCACCACAGTCAATTTAATTCCATACATTAGTCTCTCCTGCCCTCCACTGGTAATTCAGATTTTTTTTTTTTACATAGCCTACATTACATCATGGTTTTAAATGATTTCCACTAATAGGAAATATTAGGTCATGACGAATGGCACCAATCAAATACAGGAAGAGAGAGACCTTCTGTTGTTTTACTGAAACCGAGTGAGTTGGAAATTATGCAATAAATGATTCATTTAATGAGCTGTGATACAAGGAAGATGTTGCTTTAAACCATATGTTAAACACTTAGTAAAAATATATATTACATGGGAAAATGCAAGGAGTGTGCACATAGCCTGTAGTCCACTAACAGCAAAAAAAAATCCAATATTTGATTGACTGTAGGTCCGTGTGTGTTGAGGTTCATTTAACATCAATGGATTAATACATCTATATTGACCTTGAATTTTGGGATTGTGGTATTGATTCTTATAAAAGCATTTCTTATCTATAAGCCTATAACACTTACCGGATCTATTAGCCTATAAATAGATGATGTGAGTAAACTCATTATTAAGCACATTGCTATTCCAGTGGTTTTTGGACAGGGCTACTTGACGTGACTGCAAGTCCTGGCCTTCAGTAAGGTAATGGCATCGAATAGCCACAGCCTGGACTCTAATCTGATGTGGTAAAGCCGCTATAGCTGGAGGACACATGGGGAGAACATTTGGCAGCAACTAGATTAAAAATACTTGGCGAAGGTTGATTTGAGGAATTTCAGCCCTGACCCTTTTTCGTCAGGAACGAGCGCCGTTACGTCGGAAGAGCAGCACGAGCCGGTATGCAGCGAGTTTAATAGACAAAAACCCCAATATTAATCTACTCGATATCGATAATAATAACGCGAGAGTTTGCAAGTTGCCTCAAGACTGTAGTTGCAACTGTCAAAGGTGGAGTGGATACGCGCATGACCCAACACACATTACTGTAATACTGTACACGGCCGCCGAGATAATATCCGTATAAAAAACCGAAATAATCCCGAGGTAAGGAACCGAGGACTGTACCAAAACCGACTGAGGTTTGGCGTTTCTGCTCATTTTCCTTCGCTTTGTTTCTTTTTACTCTAACCAAGTGTTTCGCTGCCGTCGAAATTACTGCACTAAATTTATTTGTGTGTCTCCCTTTAGTTCCAGCCAGCGCAAGGATTTTTTTTACTCCTCCTTCGTAATAAAGTCGCCATTTTGCTTCACTGCCTATATAAACCATCCCGTATTCTAATATTTTTCCTCAAGGATTCGAGGACCTACCTATTTTTCCTGGCTATTTCTTATATTTCTGGAGTGTTTACCGAGAAGACAGGGGTTGAAGAAGTGCCTCGTGGTATAGCCTACATATTAATGCAGGGAAGGAGGGGGGGCAAGGCAAAACGAAACTGGGAATGAGGTGAAAGTATCCAGGATTTCTTTTTATGTACAGACTTAAATTTAATTTCTCTTCTCCTCCCCTGCTCCGGTTTTTCTTCCACCTCGTCGTCGTCCACAGAGTGGGGAGACTGGACAACCGTGACGACTGTCCACTTCATTTCTGGCTCCCCAACCTCAGTGTGACCGCTCGTTGACGAACAGCAGGTGTGATTGCCATGTAACACAACATTGGTGGAAAAACGCCCACTTCGGTGTCTGTCTCCTGACCCCCTCCTCCCTCACGTGGGTGACCCGGGGCCACCCGGCCCCTAGAGCTGGGTGACTGCCCGACCCTTCAGGTAGGTGTGGCCGACTCATATTTTTTACTTTGAAACATAAATAGTCAGTGGTGAAAGTAACTGTACATTTACTCAAGTGCTGTACTTAACTACAGTTCTGAGGTAATTTACTTGAGTATCTCCAGTGTATGTTACTTTGTACTTCTACTCCACTGCAATTCAGAGGTAAATATTATACTTTGGCTTTGACATTTATGTGACTTTGCAGAGTTGGATTAATGATGTGAAATATAGTGAACATTTACATAACACTATGGTTACCCTGCAGTATAACAAGTAATTAAAACTAGCTGCACCCTTACAAGCTTTAATAACACCTAAATGCATCAATAGCTATGATCAAAACATATAACATATATTATCCTCAATTTGGCCAATCTGCATAATTACTGCTACTTTTAAGTATGTTTTGATGCTAGTAGTTTTGTACTTTTACTTGAGTAACATTGTGAATACAGGACTATTGTAAGAGAGTGTTCCTACACTGTGCTATTTCTACTTAATTATTACTGAATTGCAAGATCTGAGTACTTCCTCCACCTCTGTAAATAGGCAACACGGTAACCTTGTTGTAGTTGACACACAAAGCATGGCAGTGTGCCACGTGCAGAGCTAAAATACTTATTTCCAGGTTGGTTTGTCAGCAGATTGTGAGAGGAGAGTGGGTGTCCCAGGTTTTGTTGTGTCTAGCTAGATGTATGTGAATGTAGGACTCTCGTTTACTTGTATAAATGATCTTTCATCAAAACACCAGCTGCAATGTTATTTAAAAACATGCAAAACAAAAAAAGTGTTATTTTCTAAAGACTTATTTTATGAATGCCAAATATGTCACATAGGAAACCA